TTCCGTGTCACGTACATTATCGGTTGTAAGGTTTGTTCCTATGACATTAGTGTTTTACGATGTATATGTTTGTCCAATAATTACCTATATGAATTCTGTGATAGTGCATTCTCTAGTTTGAAGTTCAATATCATTCAATATCACAGATAAAGAATTCGGAATAGGATGTAAAATTGTAAAAAATGACAATTCTAGAATGATTGTTAATACTGTATTCCACAAAAACAAAACTAGTTATTTTAATTTAAAAGCTAAACTAACGAACCGAAACCTTGATAGGATTTCTTGGAGACAAGTCTACGACTAAGTATATCCTTTCAAATAAAAAAAAATAATTTTCCAAATCGGTTTAAAATTACGGAGTTATCAAGTAAAAATATATATAAAAAATACAATCGAATTGAGTAGATTGAAAAAATATTCTTATTTATTTTGTTTTGATGTAAATAGTTTTTATTTGTATAATTTATTTTTACTTTATAATACATAAATAAATATGACAGTGGCAAACAAATCTACAAAGGCGAACTTAACTCTGCAAGAGTTCTCTTCCAGCAAACCCAAAGTGGAATGGAGCATTAATGTTGGCGGGTGGAAGGCGTGACAATTTACAAACAAAAATAACTGGACAAACTTAAGTTAATATATAACCAATTATATTTATTATACTCGTATTATTTATTTATATTCTCTTGTTCATGTTCTTTTTCATTCATACCTAAACAGCTTTGTTAGTGCCTAAAAATTAAAATGGAGGATTGAAACATTAGAAGCCTTTAAGACTTATTAAAAAGTTATTAACTAATTTAAAAGTAATTTATAGATTCATTACAAGAATAAGACAAGGTAAATAATGATGAAGTGAGAAAAGGAGGTAAAACATCCTAATCCTTAAAAATGACAACTTACGTAGGCTGTCATTGGCGTCATAGTATATTTTGTGATATTCATATTGCTGTTTATGTGTATAGCCGACTTACTATTTTCTACTGTCTAGTAAGTTTCTACCGTTAGCTAATTTAGCATTCCAAGTCATACAAAAAATGCAAAATAAGAAACTACCCACATGTTTTTATGTATGTCCATATTTGTATATTACAATATTATCACAGCTTTGCCGCAAGCAGGTACCACACATTGTTCATTGTTGTAAGTAGGTAACCAAAGTTCCGGCAACGCCCTTTATGAAATCTGAAGCCCGAATAAAGAAAGTCGTGTCATATGATGAACAACATGATACACCTATTGTATTTTGAAACGTGACGGATCCGTTCACGCTTGTCACTAAATTTTATTAAAGAATTTTTTAGCCTTCCCGTAGGTGTCGTAAGAGGTGGCTAAGGGAATTTAATGGCAGAGGAATAGACAGCGGCGTCTCTCATAAAACACCGTTGCGTCTGCTAAGTGTAGCAACTACTGGCAAAACTCCCCTTATAAGGAAAGCCTATGTCCACCAGTGGACAGTGAACGACTGATATGTTAACAACGATGATGACTTGACGCGACTTCGCACGAGTAGATAGAATTTTTCAGAGGGAGACTTTGTACAAAAGTCGATTGCATAAGTACCTCTGTCCCATTCGTGTTTCTACCATGAAGCAGTTGTGTTTTACATGGCTATGTTTCGGTTTGAAGGGTGGGATATGGTATGGCGTGAATTTACAGGGTACAGAGGAATAACACCTGAGTCCCCAGGAATGGCAACGCATGGGGGGTATCATGGGCGAAACAGTATACTCTGTTATGTCCATGGTACTGCTCATGTCTATAGGCGACGGTTACCACTTTCCATCAGGTGGGCCGTCAGCTTGTTTGCCATTCTAAGTTGTATAAAAAAAATTGAAAATTGATAACGACCGATATGAGCGACGTCGAAATGGGTGACGACCTTTTTTCCACCATCAATTTTCAAAGAATTATATACAGATATCGGATCATTATCCATATCACCTCGCCTATTTCTTGATCTTACAATAGAGCTAAGATTCACCAAGAAACTTGTTACAGTTTGAATTACCAATATACCAATTAAATTACAGGATACGAAGACATAATATGTTAGCTTTCCGGAATGGCAACGCATTAGAATACGCGGGAGCGGCAACAGTATTGTGAACATGTTTGTAAATATATTAGTCCTCTCGTGAAAATGGGAATTCAGCACGATGGTTTCCAGGGGATCACGTGGAGCTCGATCTGACGGTATATTGCTAGCAATGGAGTCACATTACTAACAATACTTTCATTCGGTAGTCCGCATTATTAATAATGCCTTCCCTCTGGGAACACTGAGGGTTACTATATTTACATTTATATTTACTATAAGTATCATCACATCACAGTGCATTCTGTGATATTCACGGTACTGTTCATGTTTATAATAGATGGATAGATAGATATTCTTTAGTTTTTCCCCCTTAAGATTACAATAGTAAACTTATTACAAATACAAACAATTACAAGAAAATATTACACTGAGAAACCCACGGGCGGCATTGTCGCTAAGAGCGATCTTTTACAAGTAACCTTTAGATGGAGAAGGATAGTTATAAACGGTTTGACAGGAAGCATGAAACATAATATAGATACTTACTGCCTTCCATCTAGAAGGCCATCTATACATCAAAATTGTATCAGCTTTTTTATCATTCAAACAAAATGCAACAGTTATGTTCTGCTGCTTCATGACGGAATGACATTTGACGATTGATGTTACAATGAACTAGATAGTCGAGCAAAGTCGCTTGATAGCAATGCTACTAGCTACTAGTCCAATAATTAAATGCGGTGCACACTAGATGGCACTACTTCAAAAAGGTGTCTTTTTTAAAATAGAGTAAACTTTATCTGCTCTTTATAAATAAAAAATAAATTGATTTATTTATAAAATTTATTTGATATTCCATAAATTATATAAATATACTGAATTCAGAATGATATCAGCTGAAAGTATTTAATTGAAGAAAAAGAGAAATTTAAGACATGTTTATACCGAAGAACGGCAACAATTTTTATATTTTTAAAACAAATTTATTAGTTTAATAAATGCTCTGTTAGTAAAAATTAAATGTTAGTTGAAAAATAAAATTCACACGTGTTAAACACACAATTAAAACTTTTGCGTCTGCTCTATTTATTTTGTAACAGAAGTGTTCAAATACTTTTATATATTTTTGATCACATTTAGAAAATTTTGAAATTGATATATATATATATATATATATATATATATATATATATATATATATATATATATATATATATATATATATATTGTGATAGATTACTTACATTTATAATTTTTTTTTTTTTTTTTTATACAACTCAGAATGGCAAACAAGCTGACGTCCCACCTGATGGAAAGTGATAACCGTCGCCTATAGACATTTTGCCATGGACATAACAGAGTATGTTTCACTTTTTGATTTCTATATTTATTCTATACTAAATTCACGATTTCAAACCGAAACACAGCCATGCAAACACAATATTAATGTAGAAACACGAATAGATTACTTTTGTACAATTTATAATATAAATATACTTCAATTTATCAATTCAAATATATTTTTTTTAAATACTCTGACATACATGTCATCATAAATTATTTTATTTAAGTACTTATATATCGAACACTTCATTCTTGATATTTTAATTGTTGGATTTTTTTTTCGTTTTACATCAGCTGTTAACTCTCCACTGTTGAACATAAGCCTTCCCCATAAGGGGAGTTAAGCCATTAGTTGCCACGTTTGGCATGCAGGTTGACAACTGCAATTAGGATGTTATAGATGTTTTAAGAGGGACGCTGCTGCTCATTCCTCTATCATCGATTTCCCCTAGTCGCCTTTTACGACACTCACAGAAAAAGAAGGGGTGGTCTATTCCATGCTGAGACCACATGGCCATTATTGGCATTATGGTTTATACATATACTCACATATGATGGTTTATATATGTGGTATACACACATAGCTCATAATAAGTCAATCTTGAACAAATATTTTTATTGAATTCCTTAATTTTCTAAATTTTTATCAATAATATTTATAATGAGGAATTATTCTGCATTAATTTTATTATAATTATTTACATTTAACAATAATAATAATTCACAATTATAAATAATTAATTAATAAAATTATAGTTGGTTTTAATTTAATCTGCCTAATAAGTCTCCATGTGCGTTTTGTTTATTTTTCAGGAAATTTTATAATTCTATTTATACTATAAAAGTAATAGGAAATAAAATTACAAAAAAAAAAATAACAAATTAAATTTTCAGTTCTTTATTTGTACGTATCTTTATGAAGTATAGTTTTAATAAGGATAGAATAATAGCAATTACATCATTAGATATAAAGCATGAAATCTATATAATATACAATAAAATTATATAAACATATTGCAACAAAATAATACATAACACTAAATAATAATGTTTATCACAAATAGTTTACATTTGTTTATATTTATATAATAACATACATAAATAAATATAATAAAAATGTACATGAAAATAAAATAATGATAGATAAATTATGGACAAATATATATGGAATTGTTTCTACATAAATAAAGTCATAAGATGATAAATTAATAATGATAATAAAAAATAACTTATATATACGTATATAATATATAATATATGTATATATCTACATACATATTAATAGATACTTATATACCATAATATCACAATGTATTTAGTATTAAATAGATAAAGAATATAATAATATAAATAAGAAAAAATATAATTAAATAAAATAATAAAATTAGGACTTAGAAAATTAGGACTAGATCAACAAGTTATTAGTAATAAAATGTACGAAATGATATCTATTATTTAAAAGTTATTTCAAATAAAATGTAAATAAAAATTGTAAAAAACAAAATACACAAATACGGATACCGTATAGAGTTTAAAATAAATACTAATATAGTATAAAACAGAATATCATACAAATTCAGAACACGTTATTGGAAAACAAAACAATCTCTTTCGGTAATATCAACCCTTACAAAGGGGTGTCGTTCAATAAATAATAAAATAAATATCTTAAAACTAAAAATAAATAAAGTCATTGTACTTCAAACGCTCGGAAATTCCATGACTATACGTAATATTTATAAGTGGGCCTAGAGTATGACCCTGTGGGATGCCTCTTCTCATTTACAATTAAATTTAGTCGGATTTCACATGGGCTCCATAAGCCAAGTTTTGAGCCTCGTCAATTGACCGTCCCCATCCGTGTCCACTGCTGGCGTAATGTTCCTCGTGGTGTGGATGAGCGACTACTTCATAACTGGTGTCGTGGTGTTTGTGGGCCAAGAGTTTCTTGAGAGCGATGATACCGGCGACGAGTAAGGACGCCTTGGCAAGAAGGAGGGCTTTGGCGGCAGCGAAGGCAATAATACCCAGGAACAGGGAAATTAGAGCTGTGATCTTGAGCTTAGCGAGAGCCAAAAGTGGGAGGAGCTGCTTGATCTTCTTCTTTTTACCACGAGCTGAAAAAATACATCACAATATTATTAATACATATATTTAAAGCAAGAGAAAAAATCGTATGAATCTAAACTATAAAAGTATGCATTATACGCTAATCTCTTTGTGTAAATTTACACAATTACATACTAAGAGATCTAGAATTGTTATTTACATTTTAATAAAGTTATTCTTTCATAATACTAAGGCTTATGTTTCTTCTTTCCGGTTATATATTGTAACATTCGTCATACTATACTCGTATTAATGATTGATGTAACTTCTGTTGTAATGAACTTTTACGTGGACTTCTTTTGTTTCGCTTTTTTAAATCATATTTAATCAATTAGTTTTTATTATCAGTAATGGTGTATGGTTATGGTTATTTTTAATAGCATCTTATAGTAGTTCTGTGTACATTACTAGGAGTTATTTAATTTTACTTTTAAATGATTTGATTCATAGAACTGAAAGTATTACAAACATTTCCTTTATAATGAATCTTCAGTTTGTTATTATAGAATTTTTATAGAATGGTAATCAATTATTAATGGTTATTATTACTAATCAAATCATCATTAATATAATATTGATACGATTGGTAATTAATAATTATATTGATTACTATTGGTAATCAATAATTATATTGATTAACGTAGTATACCATAGATCGATTAGTATAGACCTAATAACGTAAATCTATATTATATGTTTTAGATCTCAGTTCTAGTTTAATTTTAACAAATGTATGTAGTTTTAATGAGATTAGAAGAGATTTGTACTAAATTTAATATTGAAATTTTAGATGTTACACATTCAGAAATCCGCTAATAATATTCAAAGAAAACTAAAGATAATATTTTCTCATAATTATGTACTGCTATTTCCTATCTACTCATCCGCTACCATCTCACCCACATATTACCTCGTCTGTAAACAGTTCGTGTGCATCTTAATTGCTCAAACTTTTTTTTATTTACCTGTGCTTAGTTTGCCGTAGTGTTAAACAAGTATTTCCTGTTTTTATTGAATCCACACGTTAACTGGCCTAGTTATTTTTTTTTTTTTTGTTTATGAAAGCCTCAATAAATACTTCACTTTTATTCATTTGTCTTTATTATTTGTTGATTTCTATATTTTTTCTGTATTGTACGAGATCCTTTGATTTAATTTTTTTTATATTATAACTTTATGTTACGGATATTAAAGATATTTTATACAGATATGAACAAAAGAATATTTTTATAAAACTAATTTTTAATTTTTATAAAAAAAAATCCATCCAGGAAATATTTTCTCACGGTTAATTTATTAATATGTCTCAACTCTCTAATTTTAGCTAACTAGATAATCGACATTCCAAAGCAATTTCGGTCAAAACTTGAACTAATATAACATATAAAAAACCAAGATAACCGAGTCAATCAAACCAATGCTTAATCTCCAAGTTAACGAACGATCAGTGATCATAATGGACTATTGGAAAGGCGACTTTCTTAAAGAAGCTCTTGGGAGCGGCGTATTATGGCTCGATTTCTAGATGAGCTGCCCGGTAAACTGGTTTCACCATGAAAGTTCAGTGACAAGGACTCGAAGACAAGGTACGGAACTTGTCTAATGACCGTACCAGGAATGCAAGTGCCACTTTCATGACCCAGTGGCAAGCCTTATTTACACTTGTGCGTGATATGACCACTTGAATACAAATACGGTAAGAGTTTTAGTAGTGCTTTAGATGAAGCAATAACTGTTGTTTAGAAACTACGATAATATCCTATATAAAAGAAAGTGAGTTAAAAGGTAATATCTTTTCCTATGTATTCGTAGTTAAGATACTAAAGACCGGAAAGTTCAAATTATTTATTATATAATGAAAGATAATTAAAGACGAAATAAAAATAGACGAATTTTTTTTTTTTTAAAAAACTAATTATAAGTTAAAATCTATATCAAAATTTATCTATTATTTAGAAATGATGCATATAAAAGTATACGGGAATAGTATTTTACAATGCTAATTTATAAAATATGTAATACAGGTTATTGATTATTTAATCACTTCTCTCGAGATTCACATTCCAAACTTCTCCAATTATATTGTTTATATCATATATTTTATTTTAAATAAACTATTTTACATTTTTTATTGATCAGTATTAATTTAAAATTGTTGTATAACGTATATGTATGCACAGTTATGTAACATATTGCGTATAAGTCTCGAACTTACTTTGGGGCTAGCTCAATCTGTGTGATTTGTCCGTATATATTTATTTATTTATTTATTCTATTATCAACATAACAATAACAAAAATTACTTGTCATAAGTTTTAAATGATAATTATTTATATATTTATTTAATACACATACAGAAAATTCTGATTGTATCGCGAGTTCAAGACCGTGCGTCCTTTCGTAGAAAGTAAATGGGAACAACACTTGTAACCATGTCATTGTTTTAAGTATTATATTGTCTATTTATAAATACAGTTTATACATCACGAATGAATAAACATTTAGCTAAATGTCAGTATATCGAAGAAGAAATATCTGAGAAAAGACTTTAATAATAATATGTTTAGAGTTCAATATTGTAGAAATCGGAAATGATGAACTTTCATACTAAGATGAGGAAGTACAATTATGTAATCTATAACATATTATATTATCAGATAAATGACTAATGCATAGTTTTAATAGACGATAATCAATATGTTTATAATCGCATTATTTAATCAAGAAATTTTTAAATCAATTAGGTAAGCGTACAAATTTGATATTGAAAATTTAATCTAATTATATACCTACTCTAAGAAAGTTTTAACGAAACATCCGTAACGGAAATCAGAGAAACGGAATTTAGTATTAACATATATTATAATAAATTATAATATTATATTAAGGGCATCCCTATCATCCGCAATTTTAAACATTGTAAATATAATTTAAAAATGACTTTGTTACATCTCGATACCATAATAGCTCAAAATGTCGTAATAAATTTTAATATATTAAACTGTTTTTATTCCAGTCAATATGTTTCTGTCGCGCGGTTTTAAAAAGAAATCATTTTTCAATTATAAATTTAAATGAGATTACGTTAAATGAGATTAATTGCAAAAAGTAAAAGCTGCTGATTCATCTCTTGATATTGAAAACGTTAGAGAGATCCAGCTAAATACCATGGTGTGACTAAAGTGATAAACCACAGTGTAAGATGCGCTCTATTTGTCTGACATTGAAATTAAGTGAGCTATGTGGTAACAAATGTTCATTTCTTTTTTATATTTACTGTTATACTTTCCATTAATTTACATATTTTTATTTTAACTATTTATTAACGCTGTTTACTCAACTAGATGCGTTGCATAACTTTTATTTTTAAGAAAACGAAAGTCTTGTGTAATGTTTTAAATTTGTAAAAATTTTCATATTTTGATGTGTTGGTGTTTTAAAACTTGTGCTTAGTCATGTTACTTATTTACATATTTGCATATTATATTAATAGTTGTTATACCTCATAATTTTGCCTGCATTGATTAGGATAAAATTAATGACAGTAGCCTTTGTGTTAGTTTAAGATATTATATAGTTACATTTGTGTACCATTTTCTTTCAAATCTATTTATTCATTTAAGCGTGATTGAATAACAAACATGTAAACATCCAAAACCGCATTTCACATTACTTAGAAATATGAAAAGAAATCGACAAATATTGTGGTTAATTCACCTATTCACTTTTTTACCTATTTTTTTTTTCTAATGGGAGTAACAAAGAATCTAATGGCATGCCTGATGGAAAGTTTTTCAATATTTTAATTAGCGGTTACCTGGTTAATGACTTGAATAACAAATAAACATTATTTGCGGCCATAGAGCCCTTCTTGTATTATGTGTGCATGTTGAGGACAAAGACCTAATAGTTTTAGATAGCGCACTAGATCATTTAAAAACTTAAAGAGCACATTTCTACTTACTTTATGGTTTAATATGTGTATTTTCCTAAACGAATTACACTAAATGTATCTAACTACTATTGTATTTAATTATTATCTCCTAATTGAGAAGAAATTTTTTAAAATCCCTTTTTAATGTGATTGTTTTTTTTTATAACATAGAGAGTAAACGAGTATGCGGCTCATCTGATTAAAATTGCTCGATCGATTAAAGAAATTGCAAATGTATTGCCAGTCTTTTAGGAAAGAATATGCCCTTTTTTAAGGTTAATAATTGTACAAATAAAATCATGAATCTCAAATATTTATTAACATAAACGATATTATCTTAATTTATTATTATAATTAATGGATTTTCTTAATTTCTGTGTAAAGTTTCATTTTTGTAGATCAAGCAGTTTTGGATGTGCGTCGATCAGTCAGTCAGTTTCTCTTTTTATTATAATTATATGTATATAGATTTCGATTTCTTCTCGGTGATCTTAATGTTAATAATTAACTTTCTAAGTGACTACTTATGCAATGATGTTAGAAAGAGTTATATTTATAGGGCTCTTTTATTTATAACGTACTTCAATTATTGTAAATTTTTGTATATTGTAACTTATCGTAATAATAAATATTAATAAAATGTTTAGTATTTAAATTACTGAAATATACAATAAAATGTAATTTTTATTACATTATTATTGTAGAAATTACAATTTTATTAATAAAATATATTTAATTATATTATTTTATTAGTATCATTTTTGATATAGTTTTAAAATTTTTTAATACTGTTTATTTTTTAATATGTAGTTATTTATTAAATGTATTAAATTTGAATACAGTCTATTGACGATTCGTTTGTTTTCAATTTTTTATTTTTAAAATAATTTTTTTCAATATTTATAAAGGTTCATTTTGAACGAATATTATTATAATTTATAATAAGTTGATACTTTACATAAGTATCAATTATAGTTTATTACAGTTATCATACTATTACTTCGTCTTTGTAACCAAATTATATTGTTTGACCAAAATAAAACTTGTATATGTCCTATTATATATATTTAATGTTGATTTAGCTATTAAAAAGCATAAAGAGGTAACAAACAAACAAACTTACATTCACAATTATAATATTAGTAAGTATTACAATATTACATACCTTCTTCAAGTGACCTCTTCATGCCTTCAACTGCCGACGATGGTAGTCTGAACTGTATGACATGATTCTCCAAGAAGTCAGCGGCTGAATCCAGCAGTCTTGCTTCTACTTGAGCCTCTCTTGCTTTGGGTTCTTCAGACAAAGGCTCCAAAGCCCTGGCAGACCTTGGAGAACCAGAGCCAATAAGAGTAACTCCCTCAGCCAAGTTCATCTCCCTCGCTGATGAGAATGTCTCCACATATTTTAACGCTTTTTCCTGCAATTAAAAGAAAATATATATCACCCAAAATTAACATATTAAGAGCGTTGTGGCCCAGTGGCGAAGTACGTAAGTTCGAATCGGAACGACACCAAAAACATTGCGTCAATTTAAATTTCCGTTGACGGAAAACACTAATAACAAATTGATCTGAATGACAACAATAGGTTTGCCCTTTGCCACGATGGACTCCAACATGATCGGGGAAATGTGTATTTCTTTATTTTTAAAATTTTAAAATGTTACGTTCACCACAACATTAACGATCAAAAAATACTTCCGACTACCTCCTAAGAGATTACAGTCATGAGTATATGATTATATTTTTTTAATTATCACGTTGTAAACACATCACAACACTTCACTGCACGAACCTTCAGGCATAACGATACGTCGCCGTCGACACACTCTTTGACAACTCCCAATACACTGCCAACAAGTCCTGGATCGTTGGCCTCTTTGTCTATAGCGGGCATAGCCTGCGCCCACGCAAGAAATAGGACGATGACGTAACGTCTCATGTTTGTTCTAACCACCCCTAAAGCTTAACACGAAGTGTGGCTGCACTGTATACAACTGCTTGTTTTAAGCCCGTCACCCCACTACCGCTACACGAACGGGTCTAAAAGTCTGATTAAACTGGTACCCACCGAAATCATTTTATGTTAATACGAGCAGTTTGTTGCGTATACGCAAGTTTTTGGGGTTCATTCACATTTTTGTGCGTGTGTGCGTAGGTGTCTACGCACACGCGAGACGGTGCGTAACGAAAGATGGGCTCGATCGTGTATCAGGTGTATTTTATTGCTTAATCGAATGATTTTATTATACAACTTATACTTTCTTAGATTTTTTTTAATATAAAACATTTGGTTTATAGTTATGTGAAATTATTATAAAATGATATAAATAGATTTAGTAGATAATATGTATTAGAAAACATCATTTCATCATTTAAGCCGTTAACTGTCCACTGCTGAACATAAGCCTTTGTCATTAGAGGAGTTTTGTCAGTAGTTTCCACGCTTGGCAGGCGGATTGGCAACCGTAGTTAGGCATATAGAGATATTTTAAGAAGCATTGCAAAACATATTAGACACAAATTAATTAATTTTGTTTGCAGATCTTCTTCTTTCTTAGCCAAAATAATAGGGAGAAAAGAATATTATAACAAATAGCTCTTTCTTCAAATATAGGCTAACAATATTCGAGCAATTAAAAATTTCATTCCGTATTTTAATATGACTTAAAACTTAATGAGTAAGGGATTTCTAAGACTTATGGTAAAATAAAATAAAAAAAAAAACACTAAATATAAATCTATAACTACCAAATTATCAAATCCAAACAATAAAAAATATTTTTATTGATTAATTTTATTGCACAATAATTACGTTATGAATGACTAATATTAAAAAGTATATTGAATCAATATTAATTTCTAATTTATCACTAATTTAATTAAAAAAATTCAAATAACATGAATAAAATTAGTAAAAGAAATCGATGTAAAGCTAAAAGCTAATAAATTAATGTAAATTATTCTTCACTTTTCCTAGTAGTTTTATTTTAATGTGAATGTTATGCAATTATGTATTAATAGATACTTAACTACAAACAGTGTACCGCTCATTATGAGAACTAATAAAAAATAAATGCATTTAATACGAACGCAGTGTATATAGTATTAATGTAATTATTTACTTTCTTTTTTTTATAAGACAACATAATGCTTAGTACGACTACAGACTAAAAGAAATAAATTTAGAATATAATTGAGAAGCGATACTAAAGGGATATTGTGTTTGGTCAGAAAAATTAAAACAAAATTGGTCCCATTTTTAATATTGTATGAACTATTATATATTATAATGTAAATTATTATATTATAGTTTAAATAACTGCACCTATATGACATCATAACCTTTAAGAAAAAAGCATATTCCTTTTTAAAAGGCTGGCAGCACACCTGTAGTGCTTCTGGTGTTGCGGGTGATCATGGGCGGCGGTAATCACCATCAGGTGAGTCGCATGCTTGTTTGCCCCCCCCCCCCTATTTATAAAAACTCTTTATTTCTCTCTCACTTCCTAGATGTGAAGTTATAATATTATTGTCACATCTAATTGCATTATTTGATAAAAAAATAAACTCTTGCTATGCTGAATTACACCGTTGAGATATATTGAATTTTCTTCTTTTTTTTTTTAAAGATTTTAAGAGATTCTTTTATTCATTTATTTTCTTACATTACAAATCAATTCGAAACATGCAATCAGATGTGACAATAATATTCAGCTCTGTCTCGTCAATAGTGTAAACTGTAATTAGATGGTATTAACTTTTGTGAACTATCTCCAATCTTATTATACGTTATGTGCACATTTTCCCACACGAGTTTTCACTTATTCACTTTCTCACTTATCCATTTAATGTTTTATTATCTTTGTCTCACTATCTTAATGTTTAGTAATTTATGTTTAATAGTTATTTCATCTTGCGACTTTTCTCGCGTAAATTAAGAAAAATTGCCCTTTGTGTTAATTTAGACCATGACTTACTTATATACATATTAAATATTTCATTTCGTTTATGTCTAATTGAGCATCAAATAACTAAACATGAAGATATTCACTGGAAAAAAACCAAATGATCCTACATCTAACAGTGGCGTTATCAGCAAGGAAAATAATAGCAACATTGCTAACAATATATGCTAATATATTATGAATGAATGAATGAAAACTCTTTGTTGTTTCTTTCAAAGAACGATACAGATTCATCATCATCTTCTTACCCTTATCCCAATTATTATTTAGTGTCGACGTAATATGATTTTATACTAATTGGCTTATAGTTTTACGACCGGCCGCCTGCCTGACGTCAACCCTCTTTGGGAATAGGAACAATACAGATAACATAGATTAATAATATGTGAACGAAAATTTTATAATTAGCGTAATTACAAAACATAATGACAAAAGCAAGATAAAAAAGCAACATTGGACAGTCTTATCGCTAATCTATCGATCTCTTGCAGGCACCTTAGGATGATTCTTTGTAAATTTATCATTATGAGACAACTGACTTGATTTCATTCTCATCTATATTCATTGATACTAAAACAAGTAGCTTACTATTATATTTTAATCCATTAAAAATCTATATTTACCAAATAGATTGTTACCAAGTTGGTAGACTTAAAAACCCGGTGTAAATTTATACTCGTAAATGTGAAGGAAACAAAGAAACCTGAATCAATCAGGACATTAAAATTACAAGGTATGGTGTCATAATACCTTATTCTATAGATATGATATTTTTTAAGACATACTATGGGTGTCTTTATATATTTTGTGATTTCTAGTCCCATAAAAAAATGAGCCTATAAAAATAATTCATATTTTAACAAAATTTGTATAAGCCGTATGTTTGGGCAACATTATGTACAAGATCGCATGGAATTTTAGGGATTTTATTATGATCGTACAAAAATGTACGCTGTGGATTGTCTCTTTAAGGCTTCAAATTATTTGAAGATAAAGAAAATTGTTCTGATGGTCTCTGTGAAAGACTTGTTGTATCAGCCATTAACTGTTCACTGCTAAACATAGTCTCCCCCATAAGGGGGGTTTTGGTATTAGTTGCCACACTTGGCTTTTGATGATGTTTTAAGAGGGACGCTGCTGTCCATGTCTCCACCATAAGTTCCCTGGGGGTGAGAAAGTGATAGCAATGGAGTTTGACAGTCCCATTGCTAGCAATATGCCCTATTAGGTCAACCTCCACGTGGTTTTCCCTGGAAACCATCATAAACAGTTCTTGTTGAATTCATTACGATAGGCTATCTGACCTACTTCATCCTGACCTATCATTCTTTACTGGAGCTCCGCCGGTGTATATAAATAGCGCGGGTGGGGTTGCCATTTTATTATCACCCATAAAATACATAAGTTCCCTTAATCACCTCTTACAACACCCATGGGAAAGGAAGGGGTTGTGTATTTTATGCCGGGACCTACACAGCTAATGCTGTGGCTGCAGAAGACTTGTGTGATGTTATCTAACGGTCTAATGGTGTGGTGGAATAGCTAACGGAAATACCTGGAATTTTTTTTTTTGATGGGTGAAAATGGTATGGTAACGCGCTAACGGGATACGCTGGCGGAGCATCAGTGAAGGGTGATCGATGAGAATGAAAACAGGCCAGTTAGCCCATCATAATGAATTCATCAGGAATTAACCATTATAGTTGCCAGGGAGAACCGTGAGAAGGTCGACCTGGTTGGGTATATTGCTAGCAATGGGATACTCAGTCTCCATTACTAACAATCCCTTTCCCTCCAATAGCTGGAAATTGGTAATTTTTGCCTATAGACATGAAAATGACGGATAGCATTCCCTTCTCTTCAGGTATGCTATCAATGTATTATGTTGAGCATTATACTTTGATACTTACCCTATATAGGGTAAGTATTATAATTTATGTAAATATTTATTTTAATTTCTGTTTTGCACTACTATTGCCCACTCACTACTTCCTATGCCACTGTGTTAGGTTGACTGGAAGAAATCTCTTTTAGAAATAAGTTCGCCTTTGCTAACATTGTTATTAACTTATTGTTTTTACTGTATGTTTTAGTGTATTAAAGAATATATATAAAAATATATATTTAATAAAATATATATTTTATCAATCAACATAAAAAAGGAAGAAATTTTTGATTAGACTGCATATATATTTAATTATTATAAACGTTTTTTTTTGGATAGATTTCTTGTGCCATAAGCACTTTCTATCTTTTCTTCTTTACCCAAAGGTTGTCTGGCAGAGATTGTTTCAGCAATAACACTATAACAGCAGTTTTTAATTTTCAACCGATTTCAAAAAGAAGGTTCTCAATTCGATTATATTTTTTTATATAATTCCGTCAGTTCTAAACCGTTATACCGTCCGTATTACCGTACCGTACCGTATTACCGTCTTGGATATTTTTTTTTGTCTAAAAGAATATACTTACAAATTGATTTATAAAATTTTTATCAAAACCAATTTAATAGTTTAGTTACTAAATCAAAATAACTGATTGTGTCTATCTTTATTTCCAGATTTACAAAAAAAAAAAAACTAAATTCAAAATTATTGTGAGTACGATATTCCCATAAAGTAAATCCAACAGCGCTCCATTTATTTAAAACCATACATTCGCCGGAAAATTATACAACTCGTTTTAAAAATGCATTTAATTTTTAAAATAACACCCACTGTAATACTCAACAACTTTACGCGCTACAGTAAATGACAGTGTCATTTTCACATATAAGTGCATTATAATTAGGTACATGATTTAGCACATTGTAGGATGTAATAACGTGAATAAACGCTTCAAGCTGCGCCTCGCTTTCTTTAAAGAAATGACCGCGGGCGTCCGTGATGTAACCTCATTTTTATCTTCTTGTACCAACAAGATAGTTTCTTTTGTTCCTTTTCTTTTTAGAAATATCTACCTGCTAGTCTTTTTGTCAGTGTTATGTAACGTTTGTAGGTCAATATCAGAGTGCTTTCTTTTTTTGTTGCTGCGCCGATGGAGTAATAGTGTTACTTCATTACGTTTGCTTACTAATGTTCTATTGAATGGAAATATCTTATACGGAGGAATTTTGATATTTTTTCATACAACTTAGAATAGTAAACAAGCTGACGGCCCACCTGATGGAAAGTGGTAACCGTTGCCTATAGACATGAGCAGTACCATGGACATAACAGAGTATACTGTTTCGCCCATAATATCCCCCAGGCGTTGCCATTTCTGAGGATTCAGTGGTTTTTCCTCTGTATCCTGTAAATTCACTGCAATATCCCACCCTTCAAACTGCCATGCAAACAACTGCTTCACGGTAGAAACACGAATGGGACGGTTGTACCCAAGCAATCGACTTTTGTACAAAGTCTCCCTCTGTCTGACACGATTAAAATTGAGCGACGATTGACAATTCGTAAATGATCTGAATGCTGCATATGCCAAGTTCCAAGCTATATCATTAACAGTTTGTAATTAATTACTGATGACTAAAATGTTATGCAAAGGTATATAATGTGATAGTACAGGGTCATATACTCTGTTATGTCTATGGTACTGCTCATGTCTATAGGCGACGGTTACCACTTTCCATCAGGTGGGCCGTCAGCTTGTTTGCCATTCTAAATAAAAATATTATAATTGTATAAGTAGTGTTCAATGAAAAACTAAAGTAATGATAATGGTGATGAATAGGTATCTTACGTCACAAATCATATTATTTACGTATCACATGGCCGCAAATAATATTTATTTATTTACTTATTTATTGCAACTATGTCATTACAGGTTCTAACCTAATGTATACATACATATATGTGTATAAATATTTTATATGTGCAAAACAATGTTTACATTAAAATTATAGGCTATTTATTTAGCTTTTATAAGTAAAAGGTTAATTTTTATAGAATCATTCAATAGAGTGGATGACAAACATAAAATCTCTTAAATAAACACTAAGTCATGATATTTTCACATTTCATTTCCGTTTCTATTAAATTAATATTCTCAAATAAACACTATTTATTTGAGAATAAAAAATACCGAGTATGTTTATTTTTTATCTATTTAGTTCGATATTGTTTTATTAGTTTTCCAGTACTTTTTTGCTCTTGTACATATATATATATATATATATATATATATATATATATATATATATATATATATATATATATATATATATATATATATATATATATATAGCAAAGTTGAAGAACAAGCAGGAGCTCTTTGTTGAAATCTATATGTCGTTTATTTATTGATACAAATTATTTTGCTCAAACATGTAAAACAGACATGTCATTTTAAATCAATATAGGTTTATATTAACATCATATTAGTCGTTAACTGTCCACTAATGAACCTTCCCTATACGAAAGGCTTTGTTAGTAGTTGCCAATCGTGGCAGTGTTGGCAGGTTGGCAACTGTAGTTAGGCTTTGGTGATGTTTTAAAAGGGACGCTGCTGACAACCCCTCGATCATTAAATTACCTCAGTCGCCTCATACGACACCCACGAGAAATATAATAATAATTATTGAAATAAAAAAGACATGTAACAATTATGCATTTGTCCCCAAGACTTCACACTAAGGAAAGGAGGGGATAGTCCATTCTATGCCGGGACCACACGGTATAGAATACTAAAGTTTATATTATATTCTGTGCTTATAATTATTTGAAAAGTTATTAAAGTGTGTCAAAAATGTGTGGCATAATTTTGACAGAGTACTTGCACTGCATTATACATGAGCCAATAAGCGTATGCGACTGCAACCATTGTTCGCGCCATAACAGTGGCTGAAAACAGTTCATTAGGTAAGTGTGCAAAATTATTTGCATTTACAGCGAAAGTTAATAACATTTTGGAATATTAATTAAATTTTACTTGTGTTATTGTCACATAGCCCGAAGAACCGATAACTGATGGGGAGGAAAGGTTCTTGAGTGGCATACCTTCGTATGGTAAAAAGCAGTGTCGGAAGATCTCCCATTAGATGAAGTGACGACCTCAAATACCTTTATAGGAAATCAGTGGATTCAGGTGGCTTGTGATTATTCCTCATAGCAATCTATGGGGAAAAACTATATTTAGCAGTGGACAAGTAACGGCTGATATAATGATCATGATTATGATGATGTGTAATTTTGCCATTAATATATGGTGAAAGATGTCTGTTTAAATTAAGCATTTGTCATACAAATATTTCTATTTCAATAAAATACAAACCTGATATTTATTGTCACAGTGAGACTTTGTACAAAATCATCAGCTTCGGTACTATTGTCCCACTCGTGTTGCTACCACAATGTAGATATGTGGTCGTGTTTCAATTCGAGAGGTGGATGGGGTATGGTAGTGTATGCGTACCAGAAACGAGAATTGTTGGATATTGTGGATTTTAATAGTATATCAACTACTTACGTTGTGTAGTACCAACGCTTGTAAGTTGGTACTATTCTTTAGTAATACAAGTATCCATGTGCATCTGTATCGGTTCCTTTAGTAATACAAGTTCGGGCAGGCCTTATGGTTGACTGCCACTTTCCTTAGATAGAAACGAGATGTTTCATTTTATAAAAGTAACTTCAAGGAAGAGATCGTTATTTCATATTTGAAATTTTATAGGAGATCACCCTACATTACTTTTCTTTGCTCTATGTCCTTTCCTACTTGTGGATTAAAGTAACAGAAAAAATTTAAATGAATAAAAACAATTTCTAGTAACCAACAGTTTATTAACGTTTGATTATATTTTAAGTGAAATAATCTGACAAAAAAAAAGAATAATTAACAACGGAAAATATAACAATAGAATATATACATATTAATTTATTTACATCGTTACGAGAATTTAATTAAATAAAATGATAAATAAATATGAGATCGATAAGTTAACAACTTAATAAAAATAATTATAATAATATTTGGTTATTCAACGCCTTCGATATAAAACGATAATATATTATATAAATGCAATATTTTATTTACATATGTACAAGATATTATAAATGTGTTTTATTTGCATACATACACACATACAACCTCCATTTATATATATTTTAATTAAATGTATACTTTGTATTATTTTATATTTATAAACATATTTTTTTCTGTAATGTAAATAGATATATAAATTCAAAAAATATATAAATAAAATTAGTATGATCCCCAAATATAATAAAATATAACCTTAAATATAAATCCCATTTTGTACACATCATATTTAAATAAATAAAAATATATTCGATATATTTTTATAAACAATATTTTTTGTTTAAATATAAAAAAAATACATATAATAATTGAAAAAAATATTTGTAATATCAAAATTAAATAATAAATTTCTATTAAAATATAATGAGTCGCATAAGTATATATTTTATGTGTAGTATATAATGTAAATAAATTAAAGCAAATTCCAAAGGCTCATTGTACACACTTATTTTATATACTGCTGGTATAATTAATAAATTAGATTAAATAATAATTTACATTGCGAAGCGTCCATTTCCGTATTTAAGAGTATTGAGGTATTTACTAAAATGCTTAGAGTAATACAGTTCATATACTCTAACTCATCTAGCTTACATACAAATCGTTAGTCCATACATTTATGCCATTGTCGTTCTTTATCTCTAACCCACTACGATTGATCAGAAATCTGACAAATCCGTAATACTGAGAGTTCAAAAGTCTGATCTCAATAAATATTAATAAATTATATAAAAAAAATCAAATCTGACACACCATAACTATATCTGGATTTCGAATAATTATCAAACATGCATTTAAAATTTCTAGAGCAATGTCTTAAGACAAAACTTTACTTAGTAACCGGAGGGCACGTTACCATTTATAAATAATTATATTATATTATACGTCTTGATATGTAGTTAGGTGAAACTTAATGGTTGTTCCTTAACATTCAAATAGTTAACGTATTTCGGTGGGTTTGTTAATCTAGTGAGCGTATGCTTTGTACGCCAAGTCTTGAGCCTTCTCGAGTGATCTGTAAATAATATAAAAATATTATTAATTCATTTATTCTTTTGAGACTTTAAGGGTGAATATTTATTATATTATTCATGTTTTGGCTACTAAACTAATTCATTTATAAAGCTATAATAAAAATAAAAAAATTATAAAAAAAAGTAAACTCATAATAGATTTGATGCCAGCGATGTTGCAATGACAGAAAAAAAATGTAAAAATTTAAATGTAATTAATATTATATTTAAATTCTGCATAATCTTTACTAATATTATAAATATGAAAGTGAATTTAATAGTTATTTTTAGTACCTTAACCAATTTCTATAAAATTGTGTATACATGTAATATATGGGACGTTCTCCGTCCCATATACAGTACATGTATGGATATAGACGATTTTTATCCTGGACAGTCGATGTTACGAGGCTAAGATAGTTATGTATTATGATACAATAACCTTGACTTTTATATAAAATTAAGTAATAATTAATTAAATCATAAATATATGGAGGTCAAAATCATTATTGAATTTCTAGAATTCTTTATTATAAGTAAGATGTTTATCGTAGAGTGAATAGTCTTTTTGAAAAAGTTTCTTTGTACAGATTTAATAGGATTGAGCCTAGGATAGAAATTGTTATTCGTATTTGAAACATGAAATAAGCTAATGGCCCTCAACCTTTTGCGTTCCACAATTTCTCTTTCCCGACAAATTTCTCTGTAATAAATTAATAGAGATTAAAGTAATTAGCAGGAACCGCGACGAACTAATCGCTCAACACAATTTTTGCTGCATTTAGTTGTGAAAACGCGATTAAAGAATATCTATCATCGGTCTATAAGGCAATGTCTCTTGAGGCATATTCCTTTAGGTAGAAAAACTTATAGGGTAAAAATTCTTACTACTCTTTTTCAAACCCGGGAAAAAAGGTGATTAACAAAGCGGAACATAATGCAACAGTAAAATAGGTAAAATATTCGAAATAATTCATATTAAATCATCGGCCAGCTTAGTGATCATCATCATCATCATACAGCCATTATCTGTCCACTGCTAAATATAGGCATCCCCCATAGATTGCCCATATGAAACGGTCCTGAGCCACCTGTATCCACTGACTTCCTACAATGCAATTCAATTCAATTCAATCATTTATTGCTATTTCATGTTGTAACAATATAGGTCTTAAGTTATTAAAAGTAAAGAATCAACATGAACCCTGGAAGGGCGCAGCAATCACATTAATAAACATTTCATAAAGTACATAACAAAATTTTTACATTATATATATGTATCGTCGATTAACATAAAATAAATAAAACATTATTACATTGAAACAAATAGGTACAAATACAATTAAATTTTCTCATTGAAAAATTCCTGTAGTGTATAATAACTTTTTGTAATTAAATATTTTTTTAGAGCTATTTTAAACTTTTTAGAATCATCCTCACCTTTTAAGTTCATTGGTATTTTATCGTAAATTTTTATTGACATTGCGTAAAGGCTCGAATGGAATAATTGTAGCTTCGAGAATGGTCTTGCTAATCTACATTGCGGTCGCAGTGTCTAAGTGCGGGTATATTGTGGAAATAGGTGCATATTGGAAAATAGGTGGATATTGTTTAAATAGGTGCATATAGGAAATAGGTGCTGGTTTTGCCATAACTAAAGTCTTTTTTTTTTTTGTAGAACATAATTTTAATTATATTTAAAAAGTTTTTCATTTATTTTTGAAGAGACCTTAGAAAGTAAGCAGTTCTTGATTCACCTATACGTTTAACGATTTCGAGCGAAGCCGAGCTAGGTCGCTAGTTTTACAATATGTATGTATCTTTGTTGTGATTATGAGAAAACTCTATTCAGCAGTGAATAATAGGTGGGTCGTAATAATAATGCTGGCGAGGTATCATAATTATATTTACCTGCTCCATCCAGCACCTCCATGGCCACCGGACGAGACAACAACTTCGTGCGCCTCCCCACCTCCACTTGGACTGAGGAGTTTCTTCAGCCCGATGATACCTGCCAACACCAGGGCAAGTTTGGACACAATCAATGCCTTGCCAGCAAGCAGAGCTAGAGCCCCAAATGCGAGAGGCACCAGCATACCGCCGATGAGGAGAGGAATCGCCAGGAGTGGTGCGAGTTTCTTCCTCCTTCCACGACCTTCCTCTACGTCTGAGCTGCTAGGGAATTTGACCTGGAATTGAAAATGTTTTATGTATAATAATTATAATAAATATACCAATATTATTACAGTGAGATGCTTTGGGCTTATAGTAAGTTATGATCATGTCATGAAAATATGCCTTTCTATATTTACAAATACATTTTTTTTTAAAAAGTAATTTTACACACATGTTTTCCAACCAACAATCGAAGCACTTCGATTTTTTTATCTAACCAAGATGCTTCTTATATATATTAAAAAAATGTGTATATGAATTTAGACCGTGAATTCTATTCAACAAGAAGTTTTTTGATTCTTAAATAAAAACGGAAGCTTCGTCATCACAATATTAATGTAGGAGTAAGTATTATAGATTTAAAATAGAATAAAATCAGTTGATTAAATATAATTAATCAGACTGAATTGAAATTTTTTTTTTCTTAGTATTATAAATATGAAAGTGATTTTTTATTAATCTTAATACTTTAACCGCTTAGCTATCATTATTAAATTTAGTATATATGCACGTACCATATGGCATGGAGAAGATTATAGGCTAAAGTTGCAATTAAAAATTATTTAATTTTAAATATTAATGATTTCAAAAGATCATTCCGAAAATAAAACCCAGCATAGATTATCTTATAAGAAAAGAAATGTGTTTATCATCGTGAAATGGAGGTTATTAAATTACGGGCTTTTTTACAATACACTAGATAATATGGTAAGCACAAACCATTCGAATAGGAAATATAGTTTAATAGACGGTAATTATAGTTTTAAATAGGAAACGAACGCAACGCAACGAAGCCAGAAAACTCACTAACACAAGCATGCATGTGTTCAGAGTTCGGCATATTTTTTTTATTTTACGTAAGGTATTCATAAAGTACATGTATTCATAAGTACTATGTGTATTAACGGAAATGGAAATATCTCATTTATGCCTACTACTACTATTCGGCATAAATGTGAAAAATCAAAGCAAAATATATTTGAAGGGAGACAGTTTTGCGTTCTGAATTCAAATACAAATTTTCAGGGGGGAAAGGGATTGTTGTTAGTAATGGAGTTTGACAGCCCCATTGCTAGCAATATGCCCTATTAGGTCGACCTCCACGTGGTTCCCCCTGGAAACCATCGTGAACAATTCTTGTTGAATTCGCCACGATGGGCTAACTGACCTACTTCATCTCCTCACCTATCATCCTTCACTGGTGTCCCGTCGGTGTATACCGATAGCGCGGGTGGGGTTATCATTCCCCTATCATCCATTAAAAAAAATACAAATTTTCAATGACTAAAATGTATTTACACAACTCATTCTCTATGTGTGTGTCTCTCTCTATCTCTCTCTCTGTGTGTAGGTATGTATATACGTGTGTGTGTGTGTGTGTGTGTGTGTGTGTGTGTGTGTGTGTGTGTGTGTGTGTGTGTGTGTGTGTGTGTGTGTGCGCGCGCGCGCGCGCGCGCGCTTGTGCTTGGGAGCGTTCACTGTTGATGTTAGTTTTATTACGTTTAAATTTAACATTTAATTAAGCTCTATAAAATTTAGAAAAAAAAAATAGAGAAATTGATCCGAAATTTCAGTTACTTATTAATTTATAATTAATTATATAAGGTGACGGACCTACCACTGTATTTGGGAGGGAAAGGGATTGCTAGTAATAGGTTTTATTGCTAGTAATATTCCCTACCATCTCCACGCGGTTCCCCCAGTAAATCATCGACGTTAATTCTTGTGGAATTGTTCACGATGGGCCAACTGACTTGCTTTCTTCCTCACCTATCATCTAACATACCCCGCCCCATTAAAAAAAAACATAACACCATGAAGATCATCAAACGATTGTTTTGAAACACGACCTAGTCACGTCATATTGAAACGCGTTGGCAATTAAATTACATATTAAGTACACGTATCTGCGTTGTTTCTTCGAGTCCAACACGCATTCACAAGTTTGCACCAATTAACAGAAGAAATTGTTATTACAAATTAAGTAGGCTGGTCTAAGAAAACTGCTTAATAGAGTGTATCGGGGAAAAAAAGTGAAGATGAATTAATTGCATGCAATTATAGAGATGCAACGAGAAAGCAGTCACGGTGCGTCGACGCACGGTATGTAGTGATTTTTTTTCAAATGCACCACGTTATAATACCGGTTTTCTTTTCGGACTACGTATATTGGTGTCCATTGAACTAAAAAATATGTATTCATTCTATATAAGAAAAAAAATATAATATAATATATATATATATATATATATATATATATATATATATATATATATAAGATAATAATATTACAGGAGTCAAGAGTCAGTAAGAATAATAGAAGTTAAAAAGTATTTTTTTTTTATTTAAGCCTGCCCGCCTCTATGTAAGTTTATTTTGACATTGTAAAAAACTGCTAGTAATTTTGTGCACGCATTTCTTGTTGTGTGTCATTTGCTGTATGGTTCCAGCATAGACCCTTTCCTTTACCGTCGGTGTCGTAAGAGGCGACTAAAGGAGGGCGAGGGATGGGCAGCAGCGTCCCTCTTTAACATCTCCAAAGCCAAACTGCAATTATCAATCCACTTGTCAAGCCTGGCAACTACTGGCAAAACTCCCCAAGAGCTAGATTTATGTTAAAGACTGATATCATGATGATGATAATGGTGATTTTCTATTGTGATGGAGGGTCTATTAATGGGTGAGAATGAAATAGTAATCCCGCCTACCCTATTGGTATACTCTAGCGAGGCATCAATAAAAGATGATAGTGAAGTTAAAATTAACTCTGCCCTTGAGGAGTATGTGAGAGAAAAAATAGCAAAAGGAATGGAGAACTTTGAAGGGTCTTAGATATTCTAAAAAGTTCTTAAATGACAATGTTGAAGGATGGGATAAACTTATCTACAGCGGTGGCAGACAACAGGCAAGACTCATTATGGGTGCCTTAACTGGACATATGCTAATAAGCCATATACTACACAAGATGGATCTATCTTCGGACACACTGTGCAGACTGTGCGGGGAGAAATCGGAATCCATGGAACACTTGATGTACAACTGTGATTCGTTAGCGAGCATGCGCATGAGTCTACTGGGAACGGCTTATCCAGAGCCAGGGGACTAGAGATATCTTAAACCGTGGGATATTGTTAAGGTAACACATAGGATCTATGAAATGATGGTATAAGGCATGAGGAAGTACAAAAGATCCCGATGGGTCGACGTGCAACGGCTTAACTGACCCCATATGCGAATATAAGATAAGATGAGAAATTGAAATTAGATCAGTAAGCCCATCATGACGAAGTCAACAATAATAACCACGACGATTTTAAAAGAGCACCGCGTAGAAGTTCACCTGCTAGGTTTATTGCTAACAATGAGGAAGCAGACCTCATTTCTAACAATCCCTTTCCCTCGGTTGTGACAAAATAAGAACGCAACTCTTAATCTGCATCTGCAAAAAGCTAAGATAACAAAGCACAACGTACCAGTATAATAGGGAAAGAAATTATTAGGAATAGGGTTTAACAGCTTCATTACTAGCAATATACCTTATTAGGTTAACTTCCACAGTATCCTTAAAAAGACGTTAATGTAATCTCTAATTGGCAATATATTACTGTTTTTTTTTCACATTTGTGTCAGGAACGCTTGTACGTTTCCATAAATTTATTTCCGTGATTTTATAATAAATTTGATATCCTGTATTCGTTAATGTAATAATAATTACAGTATACCTAATATCGCTTGTTGATAAGTAGTCTTCTTTAAAAGATAACATTTATTCGTTTCCTTACGGAATATTCTCAACTTTCCATTTCTTGAGATTTTTCCGTTTTGTTTCTTCTTTTTTCATTTCTTTTCTTTATTTTTCTCTCCTTTTTATGTCATTAATATTAACTCTATTTTAATACTATTATCTAGAACTACTTTATTATAACACAGGGAGCAAGTAATCACTTTTCTGAAGGTAAGCAACTATCACCATCCATGAGCATTTGCAATACTCATGAAATTGTAGGTTTCCTACCGGCCTTTTAAAGAGGAATATGTTCTTTTCTTGAAGATTACTATGGGGTATCGATTCGGAATATTGATGCTGGAAGTTGATCCCAAAGCGTGATTTTACATAGAAATGGTGCCTGGAATAATATATTTGGGATGGAACTGTAGTAGGTTGTACGTTGATGAAATTATAAAGGAAGGTATCAGTTCGAAAACAACTAAAAACATCTATCGTTCATTATCAACCATAACATTAAATAAAAAACAGATTATCCAAAAGTATTCACCCATATTCATGTATGAATATAAATACGTAACTCATCTAAGCATGATATGAATAATAAATAATCTTGTACATTCTATTGTGACTCGGGTCAATGTAATCATCATTAAGCTTACATCACTATTATTGTTGTTATGTTACATTAAGTAACATAGGAACAAATAGTTTTATTATACATATTGCGCATTTGCTACTTCTCGTTGATCTTGAGAAAAGTTTTAACAATATAATTGAATGTGTCTTTAATTATGTCAACTCTTTTGATTCCTTCTAGTTCTTAATCAAATTTTTCATTTATCAATGAAAATTTTACAATTTCCTTAGATATATTCATCTGTCTCTACCTATCCCATCAAATAATACAAGAGTATAAATTTTGCAGTAGATTCCTATATATGACGGTAAAGACATACAATAAAAGTTTCTTTTTGCAAAATTTCATTCAGATATCTATAATATACAGGTACCAAATAAATAGTCGAATTAAGAAAATGCAGGGTACGTATAAAAATAGCTCTAAAAAATTATTCATATTTTATTCTAAATGTCGTAATAAATATTATTGGTATCTATTACATTGTATTATCATAATAATATTTTATTACAATACGCCGTGTAGTCCCGGCATAGAATGGGCTACTCCTTCCTTTCCCGTGGGTGTCGTAGAAGTCGACTAAGGGAACTTAATGGTTATGACGGATAGACAGCAGCGTTTCTTTTAAAACATCACTAAAGCCTAACTGTGGTTGCCAATCCGCCTGCCAAGCATGGCAACTATTGACAAAACCCCCCCAATAGATAAAGGCCTATATTCAGCAGTAGACTGTAAAGACTGATATCATCATACATAATAATAAAAAAGACTAAATGTAATTTTTGTATTTTTAATGTTACTACAGTAAAGACATTGTAATCATAAATAAATGCTACTACTTTGTCAGATTCGTATTATTATCAGATACTAAGATTTGTTTGAATTTGTTACTCATGTAGATTGATAAGACAAAGTAGAATATTGTTTACTTAATGATTAATGTAACTACTGATATATACTTACAAATTGAACAAGTAATAATAAAATTATAGTTAAAGACAGTACTTAAGTACTGTCTTATTTAAATATAATATTCTTAATATTTAAGAAAAACTCATAACTTACAACAAATGAACACTCAAATGCTTTGCAAAATCAACTCAAATTGAAATATGAATTAATATTGTCACGTTAGAATTAATAATTAATAGAAAAGCAATCGCATGTCACTTTTGTGCTCTTTAAGATTTATTTCATAGACGCTAAGCTATATAAATAGGTTATATTTACCTGGAAAGTATGTGTCCTCATGAATCCAACAATTTTGTCCAATATTAAGTTATCCAGGGACCCTTCATCAAGTCCTCTCGGGACCGCTTCTTCGATTTTCGCTTCTTCAACTTTAGCATCCTTATCTCTAACTACTGTAACTCCACTTAGTAAAGTGAGTTCATCACTTTTAGCTAATCTAGTTAGTGCCTTTGCCAATTTTCTCTTCAAACAATTCGCTATCTCGCTCCCACTGCAGTCTTTGTATGTTTCATATGCAATTTTAAGATCTCCTAATACATTGTCCTCTGAACTTCGGCCTTCGTCTATTGTGTTCTGATTGGTGGATGCTGTTCTTGCAGTTGCTGCTGCAGCCAAGGTGAGGATTAGAAGGTAATGAGGTACCATGTTGGCGGTATGTGCACTTCGTGGCGATATAAGCACTGTCTCTAAATCTAGAACACATGTAGCGTTTATATGTGCTTTGTTTCACGGTACAGTGGTCTTTACTGAGAGGGATGCATCGATGCATTTATGCAGTTGCTTCGTATGCTTGGGGAGAAAAGTTTTATGATTTTGATAAATTGAGTATTTTTTATAAAGTACAATACAAAACAGAACTACCAGATTACAACAGAATTTATCAGAGGGAGACTTTGTACAAAAGTTGATTGCTTGAGCACCTCTGTCCCATTCGTGTTTCAACCGTGAAGCAGTTGTGTTTGCATGGCTGTGTTTCGGTTTGAAGGGTGGGATATGGCGTGAATTTACTGGGTACAGAGGAATAACATCTGAGTCCTCAGGAATGGCAACGCATGGAGGGTATCATGGGCGAAACAGTATACTCTGTTATGTCCATGGTACTGCTCATGTCTATAGGCGACGGTTACCACTTTCCACCAGGTGAGCCGTCAGCTTGTTTGCCATTCTAAATTGTATAAAAAAATAAATAAAAAAGAAACTAAAAATATAATGCTATAAAGCTACGTTTTAATAGACACTTATGATGATGTTGATGATGTTTAGTTTTTCGTAACAATGGGGTTTGTCATTAAGAACTTACTTCAATATTTAATAATATTAAGCAACCTATGACAATTATTTATATCTATATCAATGTATATTTTTTTTCTATTTGCACATATTTTAAAATCAGGTGTACGAGTATATGAAAATTATTCTGCATAGTAAAATAACCTATTTATTTTTACAGATAACTAACATTTAGCCCCGACTTCGTTCATGTGACTAGGATACACTGACTGATCGAACATAAAGTTAAAAAGGGGTATAGGCTATAAATTTCTCTGTGTCACATAGTACGTATATATTAAATTTCATAGTAATTAGTTAGGCTATTAAGGTACTACATTATAATAAAAAAAAGCAAATAAAGTCGCTTTAATATCTATAATATTAGTAAGAATAAGGTTTATATTAAAATAAGTATCAACTTCGAAATCAAACATGTTTGAACTTAAAATATATGTACTCGTACTGTTTACTTAATAAATAGAATGGTTATTTAACCATTAATTGACATGAATAGAATCACTATAGTTATTGTTTAGTATAGTAGTATCAGTAATATAAAAAACAGTATGTGAAAAAAATACCTTCAAATGTACTTTTTTACTCTTAATAATGTATATGTATTCTATTTGTATATCGGATTGTGTTCTGAGGAATTGTTTAAAATGATGCCCCACAGCTACTTTTTATCATCGCATCGCTCGCCATCGACAGGGAATTTATCTTTACACGCTTGAACCTAAATGGTCACATGGGGTTCTTCAAAAAGGGTATATTAAGGTTTCTTCAGGATCGACAACGCGCATGTGATATCCCTAGTGTTACAGGCGTTCATAGGCTACAGTAACCATTTATCATTAGACAAGCTATATGCTGGTTTGCCACCTTCGTGGTATCATGGGCGAAACAGTATACTCTGTTATGTCCATGGTACTGCTCATATCTATAATAATAATAATAATATTTTTTTTATTTCAGACTTTTTGGTCCATTAAATATTTATTAGTAAATTTACATACACAATACACATACACACACATACACACATACAATATATTAAGCAGTATACAGATAATCACCACTGCACAATTCCATTGGAAATTGCGCAGCAGCGATTACCGTACACACAGTCCAGCCTGCTTGTTATCATACACAGGATGCTGTTGGTGCTGGCACGTACTCTGCGCACCAGGGATGCACACCTTTTTCGACGCTTGTTTGCCATCTATAGGCGACGATTACCACTTTACATCAGGTGGGCTGTCAGCTTGTTTGCCATTTTAAGTTGTATAAAAAAAAAGCTAATATCTTTAAAATGTTGTATACACTTTTTTGCTCTACTGTACAACATTTTAAATTATTATTTATCCGATATGTTATGTATATCCTAGAAACCAAGTTCCATATTTCGTCTTATATTCTAGATAATTATCTACTCTTACATACTTAACATTATGATACTTACTGTATATCTCTCATAAAATCTTCTGTAGTTCCATGAAATTTAAAAATGAAGAAGTCTCCAAATTAAAAAAGAAGACAATTACATTCATGTCCAAGACCATGTTTTGGGTTTTATGTAAAATTTTAATCAATTAGGTATTACTCTTTAGGGTTCTGTACCAAAAGGTCCAAAACGTTTACTCAATATTTAACAATTAATCTGCTAGTTCAAGTGGGGTATCATATGAGAGAGCTTGTATTGTATATTTTAAACTGATTTTTATTTACTTTTATTCTACTTAGTTTTTAGTTATCATCGAAAATGTAAGAAAAAAGACTGTTATATTCTACATATGATACTTGTTTGTTGCTGACACGTTGGTGTTTTTTTTTTATTGGATGTAAATGGAGTGGTAACCCCGCCTGCGCTAATGGGATACGCTGACGGGGCACCAGTGAAGGGTGATCGATTAGGATGAAAACAAGCCAGTTAGCCCATCATGATTAATTCATCAGGAGATAATCATGATAGTTTCCATGATAGGTTGACCTGGTTGGGTATATTGCTAGCAATGGGATTCTTAGTCTTCATTACTAACAATCCCTTTTCCCCTCGACACGTTGGTGTTGTACAATTGATAATGTTTGATCGATCTCATAATAACTCATTTAATGAATAATTACATTGTATTGGAATTGCGTGTCACAATACCAGAAATTGATATTATTTGAAGAACAATTAAACGCATGCGCAGGAAATATAAATCAAAATGATCATTTTATTGCACAAACTCTCATTAGGTCACTTTTTCTCTCACACACACGCATAACTGCACACGCACACTCACAAGAATTATTTCCGTTTTATTTTTTTTTAATGCATAGTAATCGAATGGTAACTCCATCGGCGTTATTGGTTTCTGGTATCGGAATATTAGTGAAGGAATAATACATAAAAGAAAATGTTACTTGTGTTTGGCGTAAATTTACTGGGTACAGAGGAATAACATCTGAGTCCTCAGGAATGGCAACGCAAGGGAGGGAATCATGGGCGACACAGTATACTCTGTTATGTCCATGGTACTGCTCATGTCTATAGGCGACGGTTACCACTTTCCATCAGGTGGGCCGTCAGCTTGTTTGCCATTCTAAATTGTATAAAAAAAAATTATACAGTAAAGTCAATTAGCTTATCATAATGAATTTTCCAGGAATTATGCATTAGTGTTTTCACTGGAAACCCTATTATTCTAACTCATAGAACTTGTTTTAAAATACATACCTAGTTAGTATTTTTTTATACTACTTTAGTGGCAAACAAGCACATGGCCTATCTGATGGTAAACAGAGTTACTGTAGCCTATGGATACCTGTAAAACTAGGGATGTTTTTTGTATTTATTCCAATAGATTCAGTGAATAATTGTGACAGACAGACATGTCACACAATATACATATTATTTTTTTAGTAATTAAGTCTGTCTAAATTTGATTCTACGTTTATGATTTTTATGTACCAAAAACAATGCACTATATTTAAAAAAAAATATAACGGTCTTCTTGCCAGTTTTTCTGAAACTGTTGATGATAAAAGTAATTGAACTAACAATATATGTATCACTATGTGGTGATGAGAGGATATTCTCTCCATTTAGTACAAAAAATCTTCTTTACATTCCAACAAAAGTACAATCCTGTTCTACCTTCATCCATCGTACCTCATGCAATATTTTGAAGATTATATCTCCATCTCGCATATAATCACTCCATACTACGCTTGCAAGCAAAGGATTTCTACTTAATTTTTTTTATTTCCTGTCAGTTGTCAGTTGCTCGAGCAATGTGATCAATTTTGACTGACTACAGATCCTGCGGAATATGTCAATCGCTCTAGTTGCGCGTATATCCGTATTCCGGAACTTCCGGATTCTATCACGCAGTGAAACTTTGAGTTCATAGCTCACTGAGCAACTTGTAGCGTCCACATATGTCAAGCAATTGAGACTATGTTTCAGTTATATAAATTAAACAGAAATTAATTTCAGTTTAAACAAATTAAATTAAGTCAAATAAAAAAAATGTTCACTTAAAATTATTATTAATTAATATATTTAATAAAACTTAACGTTCACTTCTGATAGGAAATTTGTTTTTTTTTTTAATAAATACTTTTAAATTATTTTAAAACTATTTATAGGTGTGGAATTTAAATGCATTATAGTACTAATAGATTACCCGTAACCGGCGAGCGTGTATGAAAAGATTGATGAATGTGGAAGAAGCGAAAGAGGTTTGTTTGAATCGAAGCATTTGGCGTTCCATTGTTTCTACCTACTCTAATAGGAGACAGGCGTGACAGATATGTATGTATATATGTAGTATAATCCTTACTGATATTATAAATATGAAAGTGTATCTGTTTGTTAGATCATAATATTATATTAAACTTAAGTAATCGTTGTGAAATTTGATAGGAATGTTATTTTTGGAATGAAGTAGAAAATAGATCTCTTTTTATATGGGCCGATATATCCCGACTACGCGAACAAAGTCGCGTAGCGAAACTAGTATTATATAAGTTACTTTTAATTATTTTTCATCCACTGATTAACTGCAATATACTTTAGATCACATCTCCTGTCCTTATATTCTAGTAGGAATTGTTCTATATTGCGTACCTGCGTACATAGTAGTCACTTAAAAATCTTTCTTCCCTTTTATAAATGATAATCGGTTTACGGAGTGAAAAAAATCTTGAATAATAAAAGTACTTTTAATTTCAATATTAAGAAAACGGTGCTCGACAAGAAATTTTAAATGGCATTGTACACGCAAATGACGTGTCTAGACACAGCTACTCAGCCCACAAAAGCACACGCGATTCAATGTTGATCAAGTATGTGAAGCCATATTTTTTTTTTCGCAAATTAAAAATATATTTTACTAGTGATCCGCCTTTGCTT